ACCTTAAGACTGTACACCTGTTGTGTAGTACACCTTAAGACTGTACACCTGTTGTGTAGTACACCTTAAGACTGTACACCTTTTGTGTAGTACACCTTAAGACTGTACACCTTTTGTGTAGTACACCTTAAGACTGTACACCTTTTGTGTAGTACACCTTAAGACTGTACACCTTTTGTGTAGTACACCTTAAGACTGTACACCTGTTGTGTAGTACACCTTAAGACTGTACACCTTTTGTGTAGTACACCTTAAGACTGTACACCTTTTGTGTAGTACACCTTAAGACTGTACACCTTTTGTGTAGTACACCTTAAGACTGTACACCTTTTGTGTAGTACACCTTAAGACTGTACACCTTTGTGTAGTACACCTTAAGACTGTACACCTTTTGTGTAGTACACCTTAAGACTGTACACCTTTTGTGTAGTACACCTTAAGACTGTACACCTTTTGTGTAGTACACCTTAAGACTGTACACCTTTTGTGTAGTACACCTTAAGACTGTACACCTTTTGTGTAGTACACCTTAAGACTGTACACCTTTTGTGTAGTACACCTTAAGACTGTACACCTTTTGTGTAGTACACCTTAAGACTGTACACCTGTTGTGCAGTACACCTTAAGGGTGAACTGCACAAAAGGTTAAGATCCCTTACGTCTCTGACGCTGTTATTTTTACCCAAAAACAGTTTCCCTGCCCCCTTTACCCACTCCCCTTCCCCCCCCCCTTTTACCCATTCCCTTACCTCTATCACCAGAAATACCAGAATATATATATATATATATATATATATATATATATATATATATATATATATATATATATATTATATATATATATATATATATATATATATATATATTTTTTTTTTTTTTTTTTTTTTTTTTTTTTTTTTTTTTGTTTGTGAGGGTACCACCTCTGGTGCCAATGTGGGGACCCATAGCCCTCGGAGAAGAAAATAAAAAGTATTCAGAGGAGACCTTGTGGTTTCTCACTGAACACTAATATTATCTTCTCCTACCACCCCCATTCTTTTGTATGTACACATATATATTTACTTTATTTGAACTTTGTTACAAAAAAGGAGTTACATATGGGTTACAAAGATGGTTGTCATAGGTTGTCGAGTTCCTCCAGCTCCTCAGATGGCGGGCAGGAACCCTGGATGCAGTGCGCATTTCCCCTCTGTATCGCCACACTGAGGCGCTGGAAAAGAAAGCTTGCAGCTCTCGGGTCCCTTGTTGTTTCAATGAGCCTAGAACCCAGTTCCTTCAAAAAACTGGTAGCACTTTTACCCCAGGCGCCGAGCGTCTCAGAAGCAATGGGGACAAAATTGTAGTGGTGATCCAGTTCTCTATACTTACGGGATTTGGCTGCTTCCCTGTGGGTGGCAGCGCCACCTGCTTGTGCAACACTGAGGTTAATGTAGGTGTTAGCCAGGGTTGATACGCACGTGTAGTCCCATACCAACTGCTTGCCATTCTTCCAGGGGTTCACTGTGATACCATCCGGGCGACCAATAAGAGCATATATATATATATATATATATATATATATATATATATATATATATATATATATATATATATATATATATATATATATATATATATATATTCGTTCTACTGAAGTATTCTCAGTCATTAATGAGTGATATTGGATTCAATTTGTAATATTCTTCTGGTCTGCAATTATCTCTAAATTGTCGTAAACAGTCATTCATTTCCAAGTCTATGATGCATCTCAGTCATGTGTTCGAGACATTTGCATAGTCGCTCGACTGGGGACGTGGCGTAAATGTTATTGTTTTAACCACCCAAAATACACGAAGCTGTTGCCTCAATTGGCCAATCCTCTGTGAGTGTTTAGGACTCACTCACAATCATTGTTTGTAAACATTGGGAGCGAATTCTCTTCCCTCGTAAATAAAGAACTTACGATCTCTTAAACGCTACGAGAATACTCCAGCAATGCCCAAAAGCTTCTAATTCCTAAGAACTCTGATTGGCGTTGGGAGCTACAGCATTTTCTGATCGGGAGATTGCCCCTATAACACTCCTAAACCCAACCACTTGGACCATCGGGGATCGAGCACCGACCAGCAGGAAGGGAGGTGGATCCTCTATTGACTAAAGAACAGGTAGTCGGGTTTGGATTAGATCCTGTTGGATATGACAGGGGGGGGGGGGAATATTCAGGTGGGATTTGCAGTAACTTTTAGACTCTGAAAACTATTTCTGATTTCTACTTTTTTAAGTAACTTGGGAGTTGTTGTGATGCTGTCGTCACCAGTGACAGGCGGAGATGCGACAGAAAAGAGGACAGAGAAATGGACACGAGAAACGAGAGGGGAGAAAAGGACAGATAGTGAGGCAACAGAGGAGGATATGTGGATAAAAGGACAGATATTGAGGCAACAGAGGAGGATATGTGGATAAAAGGACAGATAGTGAGGCAACAGAGGAGGATATGTGGATAAAAGGACAGATAGTGAGGCAACAGAGGAGGATATGTGGATAAAAGGACAGGTAAACAAGAGTGTTGGCAGAGGAGACGACAGAGAAGTGACAGAGCAGAGGAAAGGATGTACGTGTCCCGTCACTACCGACAGACGGAGAACTAGACAGATTAGACAGCTGGACTTCCCGACACACAGGATGGTAAATCACCCCCCGAGCCACTCCATCCCAGGACAGATGTCAATAATCAACTTGACGGGCTCGAGGACAGGCATCCTGGGACTGTCTCACCCCTGTCACCCTCCCATGAGAGCTGGCTTCTCTGTCTGTCTGTCTGTCTGTCTGTCTCTCTCTCTCTCTCTCTCTCTCTCTCTCTCTCTCTCTCTCTCTCTCTCTCTCTCTCTCTCTCTCTCTCTCTCATAACTACATAGCTTACCAGGCCATTAACAATGCAGTTACGAGTGAAACTACCAAACACAGCAACTATTACCCCAGTCGTATCAATCCAACCACTCTGGACCGGACAGTCTCGCTTCCTGCGGGTCTGGGTTCAATCCCCGACCGTCCAAGTGGATGGGAACCACCATTTCTCCCCCCCCCCGTCCTATCCCAAATCCTTATCCTTACCCTTTCCCAGTCGTATCAGACTCTCATGGCCTAAATCCATTCAGACACGCTATGGAAGTCTAAAATGTAAGTCTTAGAATAGGTGAACTAAGAAGGAATATGGCAAGAAAACCACACCGAAATGGACCATGGCACCAGTGCCACTGGCAACTTAAGGCATTCATTAATGGCACTCAATGCCACACTTCACTTTCAGACCTCTTTAATCAATTTCAGAGATTGTATTTCGTGCGCGCTCATGGAATTGGCTGTATTTTGTGTATTTTTTTATACATTCTTTACATGACAATTGTTTTGATTTTGGGGACATATGACAGGTCATTTATTTTTATTTTTTGATGTACATTTTAGGAATATATTCTTCAGTCCGGATATGTAAAACCTTTTTTTCCAGAATTGTTCGTTTGAGCTTATCTTTGAGACTATGAAGTGTCTCATCTTAAGTGTAGTGTGTGTATCTACCCTCACTATACTTTAGTATAGTGTGTATACCTTACCTCACTATACTCTAGGAGTAGAGTGACTGTATACCTCACCTCACTATATTCTAGAGTAGAGTGACTGTGTACCTCACCTCACTATACTCTAGAGTAGAGTGACTGTGTACCTTCCAGTGAGTGCACTCAGCGCAACAAGGACCTAACGCACCGTCTCCCACCTTGCCCTTAAGCATATAAGCCGGCTACACACCCAAGCTTCAACCCCTCGTATTCTCCTACAGGTCTCGCCGCCGGATTCTGAGAGCCGGCTCAAGCTTCACCTCCCGCGGCTCTTAAGTTTAAGAGAGAGAGAGGCAGAGTGTGCAGACCAGGAGGGTCTTAAGTACATCTGCTTGTCTGCCAGTGGTAAGATGCCTCGCAGGTACTGTTTATGCCTGGTAGGTGGCGCTGCTGCAGCTGCATGTCTTGGTTAGTGATGTCCAACCATCCGGCAGCGTTGATGTGTGTTGATGAGTGGTGTTGCATCTCCCTCTCTCCGGTTATTGATTCTTCATCCATTTATACGACTTTTCATCTACTTATATGACTTTTCATCCATTTATACGACTTTTCATCCATTTATACGACTTTTCATCCGTTTATACGACTTTTCATCCGTTTATACGACTTTTTATCCGTTTATACGACTTTTCATCCATTTACACGACTTTTCATCCGTTTATATGACTTTTCATCCGTTTATACGACTTTTTATCCGTTTATACGACTTTTCATCCGTTTATACGACTTTTCATCCGTTTATACGACTTTTTATCCGTTTATACGACTTTTCATCCATTTATACGACTTTTTATCCATTTATACGACTTTTCATACATTTATACGACTTTCCATCCGTTTATACGACTTTTCATCCGTGTATACGACTTTTCATCCATTTATACGAATTTTCATCCATTTATTCGACTTTTCATTCGTTTATACGACTTTTCATTCGTTTATACGATTTTCATCCATTTATACGACTTTTCATCTGTTTATTCGACTTTTCATCCATTTATACGACTTTTCATCCATTTATACGACTCTTCATCCATTTATACGACTTTTCATCCATTTATACGACTCTTCATCCATTTATACGACTCTTCATCCATTTATACGACTTTTCATCCGTTTATTCGACTTTTCATCTGTTTATACGACTTTTCACCCGTTTATACGACTTTTCATCCGTTTATACGACTTTTCATCCATTTATACGACTTTTCATAAATTTATAAGACTTTTCATCCATTTATACGACTTTTCATCCATTTATTCGACTTTTCATCCATTTATACGACTTTTCATCCATTTACACGACTTTTCATCCATTTATACGACTTTTCATCCATTTATTCGACTTTTCATCCATTTATACGACTTTTCATCCATTTATTCGACCCTACGTTCGAATTATCCAACTTTTCATCTCTTTATCTGGCCATTAACAACCACTGGACCATTAACAACCACTGGATCATTAACAACCACTGGACCATTAACAACCACTGGATCATTAACAACCACTGGACCATTAACAACCACTGGACCATTAACAACCACTGGATCATTAACAACCACTGGACCATTAACAACCACTGGATCATTAACAACCACTGGACCATTAACAACCACTGGACCATTAACAACCACTGGACCATTAACAACCACTGGATCATTAACAACCACTGGATCATTAACAACCACTGGACCATTAACAACCACTGGATCATTAACAACCACTGGATCATTAACAACCACTGGACCATTAACAACCACTGGACCATTAACAACCACTGGATCATTAACAACCACTGGACCATTAACAACCACTGGACCATTAACAACCACTGGACCATTAACAACCACTGGACCATTAACAACCACTGGACCATTAACAACCACTGGACCATTAACAACCACTGGACCATTAACAAGCCCTGGGCCATTATCACGACTTGTTAATGGTCCAGGGTGGCCCAAAAACATCGTGACATTATTCATTCTCAGATGCGTGGGTTTGGGGGTCTAATTATGACTGATAGCTTAACCTTTTGGGCAATCTCTGACCCCTTTCCCCCCCCCCCCCCTTCCATCCCTTTCCCCCGTTCCATTCTCTAACCTGGACAAATAGGTTGGACAATCACCCCCCCCCCCCTTCCATCTGACGTTCACTATTTCGGACAGAACCAGAATTGATTAAGTATTTATTCATCCATTTACGAAACCTGTACATCTTTCAACAGTCTCGGCGGCTTTGTTTACACTTATTAAACATTTTACAGGGTTCGAAACCTTCCAGCCCGAGGTTATTGTTATAAATAGCCTCCCCGTAGGGCCTCGGAGCTTATAAAATCATTACTGTATGATGTAAAACTCATTACCGTATGATGTACAATGTTTCGTAAATGTTGTAG